AAGAAAGCTAAGAACAAAGATACCGGTCATTCCCACACAGCTACAAGCTTCCACTCCAGATCAACACATGCTCCGGGAGAAAGAAGAGAGAGGAAAGATAAACATGAAACTCAACTTTGATACGCATCACTCAGCTAAACCCTTACCTGTTCTGCAACAAGGAGAYCAAGTATGGATTAAAGACAGAAAAGAAAGTGCAACAGTCAAAGATAAAGTGCATGAACGATCATACCTTGTCGAAACACAGAATTCCACGTTCAGGAGAAACAGAGTGCAGCTGAATAAGTTACCAAAGAAAGGACCTAACTTGACCCAATCTACACCCACAACAGCAAACAAAGAAAGGACGAAACCGGAACACCCTACAGCCCAACAGAACGCTCGAGAAGCTAAAGCTATGCTAAGCCCTCATTTACAGCCAACCTTACAAACCAGATCCGGAAGAACCATTAGGAAACCAGACAGACTTATTGAACAATGAACTTGAACTTGTTGATGACATGTATTAGCTATAAAAGGGAGATGTAGTGTTATCATATATTGTAATCAATATATATAGTTTGGATTACCTGTGTATGTTTATATATAGTTCGGGTTACCTGTGTCTTGTAACATATCTAACATGGCGGTTTAGTAAAACACACGAGACAACAATCTGTATAAATCCTTCTCACAAATCATCCATCGTAACACAACATAGTAGTTGCGTATATAAACCACTGCAGCCTCCATATTGTAAACACAAAGTCATTAATATCAACATTTCTTAAATAAGATTTTAAACGGTCCCAATCAGTCCAATAACGCCAGTGTTTTTCCTCGTTGTAGGTTACACTATTTATGAGTGTTCTTGAGTCATGACAGAAAATTTCAGGGTCAAAAACAGCCAAAAACATTTTTGGAAATTGTCCTTCGTGTCGTGTCGCTTGAAGTGAATTTCAATGAATTTTCAACAGACTGGCGCATGCGCACGCCAAACGGCCCCTTGTTGCATGTTTATAGAATTTATGATAGTTTCTCCTGGTATGTCCTCTTATTTACCAAGTTTGGCGTTAGCGAATCGTCAAAATTGTTGTTCATAAATAAACCGAACAATTTCATCAATTTCGACGATGAGATAGCGCAAACCGTCATGAGGACGGGTTCCTGGGAGAAATATATTTGTTCTTATGTCCCAGCAGCCAGCTGTAAGAGACAACTGGTTGCCAGCCAGAAATTGAGGAAAAAAGATCTCTGTCCAGGCAAGAATTTTTGCCAGGAAAATAAAAATTTCCTAACTAAGCTGAAAAAAATATAAGCCTTTTTTGACCTTAAAAACGTTTGCCAGGAACAAAATTATTTTAAAGAAGGAAGGGCGCCACATTTTCTTGTGAGAATGTCAACAATGTAGCAAAAAATCCCTTCCCCAAGGTAAAATTCGTACAAGAAGAGTTATTTAGAAGAAGTTATTTATTAGAAGAACAGATCCCGTCGACTCCTCCTGAACCGTGGTAAATATCAGGACTATCAGCACATACAACGACAAGCTATCATAAATGTTTTTTTTTTTACAATACAAAATATTATACAATTATAGATAACAATCCCAGACAAAAAATAATGATCTTGCAAGCGT